GCAGTGTTGCCATCGCGAGCAGCATCTGGGTGAAGTGACACGTATTTTTTTTTTTCGCGGAGGTGTTTGTGCATTGCCAGACTGGTTAATGTTGCCAGGGCATCGTACTTTAGCGACCCCGCGCGTCGGGGTCCGCGATATGAGCCTGTCTGTCCGGGTGCTGGTGCGGGCAGTGCGGCGGGGCGGGCGGGGGTCCGCGTCGTCCTCGACGTCCTCGACGTCCTCGACGTCCACCCCAGCGCGATGGTGCAGTGCAGTGAGTGCGTGGCCGTCACGGGCACGCGGCGGGCGCACGCCAAACGCACCCGCATGCTCGGGGCATGATTAGCTGCCGGGGGTGGGCACGCCAAGAGGGTGCCGGCCGCGCCAGCCAGGCCAGCCAGGCGGACGACCCTTCATACTTGACGTCGATGACGCGCAGTGAGGGCCGCGCCACTGCGAACGCCGTTACATGGTTTGTGTACGGCCCCCTCTCCAGCGGCCGGCCCGAACAATGCCGGCTGGCCAACCCCTTGCCTCGCCTCGGCTGGCCCAGTGAAGGGGAAGTCCGCCGGGACGGAGAGGACGGCGTCGAGGGCCGGGGCCGCCCTTCGCGCTGCTGCCTGCCGCTGTGCCTGCCGCTGTGCGGGGGTCGCGGCAGAGTCTCGAGGCCGACGCGGTCCTTGGTGGAATTAGCGCCCTGCACGCCACAGCGGCCACGCGTGTCGCAGGGCCGCGCCGGGCGGACAGACGGACGGACTGCGGGGCGTTAATGGCCTCGCGGGCCTCGCCCCGCTTGTTAATTCGTGTGCCACTGTGCGTGCGGAACGACGGCAAGACTGAATCCGACAGTTCGTCTGTCTCTCTTGCACCCACATGGGACGCCCTGCGAGTGCGAGAGAGACGGCGACGAAAACGACTTTCGTAATCAGTCCGCCGGGCCTCGCGGGGCCAAGTCCTTTTCGGCTGGTAATTGAATGGGAGTTTGCCGCATGCAGAGTTCCGCGATTGGAGTGTGGTGCTGTAGGGTGGCCGACTGGCGGCGCGGGCCGTTGGCATAGGGTGACCACACGGCGGCGGCCGAGCCGTCGGCTTGGCGGCGCGCGGTGCCGTTCAAGTAGTGGCTGTCGGCGGTCGGCGCGGTGCGCAACGTGCGGTTGCCGTTGTTGACGTCGTTACGGGAAGGGTGTTGCCTTACTGCGGTCAGTGCGGCCGAGCGCGGTACGCAATACACGCGGGCCGCTGTTACATGCCGGCCTGCACTGTTACGCCGGGGCTCTTGTGGGCGTCTGCGAAGGGTGAAGGCGGCCGGCGGCCGCTGTTTAAAAAGGGGGCTCCTGGTGGTCCCAGAGTCCCAGGACGAGGAAGCCACCGCCACTTACGCGCAGGCGTCACTACTTTGCTTTCTCCCCGTTTTACGCGGCGGTCTGGCGGGGCTGGCGGGGCTGGCAGGCAGCCGGCCCGGCCCGCCCGGCCCTTACGATATCATCGTCGTGACGCAACGACAACAATGGCAGGAACCGCAAAGTAGGTGCCAGCCTCAGCCACGTCGCCGTCGTCGCCCCGCCCCGCGCCGAATCCGCGCCGAATCCGCGCCGCGCCCTCCCCGCCTGTTCGAGGCCCTCGTCTTTCCGCCGGGGTGAGCACGCCGCTGTCGCGCGACGCGCCAAAGGCCGAAACGACGCCCCGCGCTTCCTGGGCGGGCTGCCATGTTGCTTCCTTCCCCTACGACTCCGGGGTTGTCCGTCCGGGCTGTCGGGCGGCCGCTTTTTCAGCGGGAGGGCGCGGACGACGGACAAGGCACCGCCTTCCTGGCCGTGCCCCGCGGCCCCCGCCGGTGCGGCTGTCTGGCCGGGCGGCGAGCACCCCCGGAAAGTGAATGGCCGCCACGGCACTGCCACGGCACCGCCACCCCCAACGGGGACCTCGGCCCGGCCGGCCGGCGGGCGGGTGGGGCGCCCGGCGAAACGCCACCAACGCCACCCCCTTTCGCTTTCCGTGATCAATATTCATTCACGTTGCCTAGCCGGCCGGGGCAGCGCGGGTAGCGCCGTGTAGCGTAGCACGGCCTCCCCGGCCTCCTCCAGCGTCCAGCGCGCCCCGCCCCGCCCCGCCCCGCCCCGCCCCGCCCCGCCCCGCCCCGCCCCGCCGGCCTTTTGTTTGGCCGTTTGTTTACCGAGCGCTTTTTACGCCCCGGCTGCGCCGGCTGCGCCGGCTCCGCCCTGCTGCTGCCCCCGCTGCCCAACGACGGGGTGCGCGCAGCGCGCAGCACCGAGGCGGCAGTACACCGTTTTGCAGCAAAGCAAAGAGGCCCGTGGGAACGGGGCACTGTACATAAAGCACACACATTGCTGCCGCTGGGAAGTGGAGAGTGGAGTGGCTCTGGCCGTCTGGTCGCGGTTCTTGATGCACTGGGCTGCCGCGATGCCGCCATGCCGCCATGCCGTGCCGGCCGCGTGGCGGCGCCACTGCAGGGCACTGCGACGCTGTCGACGGCGCGGTCCTTGCTTGTCGCGCGGCCCGCCCCACAGTGGGCCAGAAGACCGGTGGAGGCGGACAAAACCCCGGACGCGGTTTGAGCTCCAGAGTCACTAAATGGGACTCGAACCGAGCGTGTGACCTCGGTGTGACCCCACCATTGGATTCCTCGTTCCATTGGTGGGGTCACACGTTCGGTTCGAGTCCCATTTAGCGACTCTGGAGCTCAAAACGCGTCTAGAATCCCCCCCGTCGTCTGGCCCACTGTACGCCCTCTGGTTTCGCCGCGGCGGTGCGCTGCTTTGTCACGAATTCGTGCCCGGCGAGAATTAGTTGGATTAGCGGCTGCCGTTGTGAAACAGCCCCGCCAATTACAGCGGCGAGCCTGGCCGCCATCCGGGCAGAGACCCGCGACCCGCCCCGGATGGGACAGGACAGTGTAGTGTCGTTTAGAAGCGGCGCGAGTCTGGCCCGGCGCCGCCAAGCAATGCCAAGCAATGCCAAGCCAAGCGGCAACTTTTTCATCCGGCGTTTTGTCTCCTGGCGCGCCGGAAAAAGTGAGACGTCTTGTTCGCGCGGTCCGCCTTGCCTTCTCGTGCCGCCGCGCCGCAGACTGATTCCGAGAGGCGGTTCCGTTTCGTCGCTCTGTCTCTCTCGCACTCGTCGGGCCGGGCGTCGACTCATTAATTTGCCCCGATGAGGCCAGGCCGGGCTGCCGGCGACACTCCGCTGAGGAACGGCCGGCCCCCCAAATGCCAAATTGCAGGTTTTGCGCAGCTCTCGATGACAACGCGACCCGTTGCGGGGAGTCAGAAAGGAACTCCCACTTTTAAAAGTCACTTACTCCTGGGCGCTGCCAACGATAATCCCGTCTGTGTGGTGTTCGGCCTGATTGTGGAATTTGGTCCCCGATCTCGTTCTGTTTTGGTTGCCTAGCCGCTCAAATAAAGTGTTTAGGGTGGATTGACGGAACGGCAATTAAAAACTCGTTCTGGCCGTGCTGGCGTTGCTGGTGGCCATTCTCATGCCGCTCTTCTCTCACTCGCGCGCGTTTTTGTCGGCTCGCTGTGTCGTGTGGCAGGCCGGGCCGGGCCGGGCCGGCAGGTCCGAGGTGCGTTTTCTTTTACAAGGCTGCGCGTGGCGACCGCTTGTGGCAGCTGGGGCTGAGAAAGCGCTTGGTTCGCGTGGATGGACCGTGCCGTTGGACGGACGGCACGGCGACGGCACGGCGCACAGTGGGCTAGGAGACCGGTGGAGTGGCCAAAATTCGAGACGCGTTTTGAGCTCCAGAGTCGCCAAATGAGACACAAACCGACCGTGTGACCCCACCAATGGATTCCTCGTTCGGAGAGCAATCCATTGGTGGGGTCACACGTTCGGTTCGAGTCCTACTTAGTGACTCTGGGGCTCAAAACGCGTGTAGAGTTTTGGCTGCCTCCACCGGTCTTCTGGCCCACTGTGCGGCGACGGCCGAGAGCAGGGCAGACGGGGGCAGCGCACCGCCGTGGTGCACTTGTGCAGCTGCATCATGCCCTGCATGTTGTTCGGGAACGCGGAAGAGCAACGTGTGCACCTATTGTTCCTCGTGATGACTACATCACGGCCCGCCCTGCAGCGCGGCGTGGCCCACAGGGCCGTCGAAGGGCCCCGCAGCCCCCCGAGGGGCCCCGGGGGCAGGGAGGGCCCGCACGGCTGCGATTAGCATGCCCACTGTGCGCCGCGGAGGCTTCCTGGAGCTTGGCCTGGATGGCCTGGAATGGGGTGCGCGCTGCGGCACTGCTGCCGGCTCGGCTCTTACACAGTCGGCGCGACGTAACTATCGGACTGCGTCCGCGCCGCCGTCATGTTGACCGTGGTCGTGGTGCTTATCGGCTAGGTGCCCGCACCTCTAAGTGCACTGCAGACCCGAGCCGTCGCCGCTTTCGCCAGCCTATCTCGGCCCGGTCACGGAGTCGCGCATCGCGAGAATCCTCGAGCCAGGCCGAGATGCAGTGCGACAACCTGGCCGAGATCCCTGGGCGGTGCCAGCCCGGGGTGGTGCAGATCTCCGCGACGCGCCTAGCGGGCCTCGCTGCCCGCCCCCGTCGCGCGCGCGCCCCAGCCGGGCCAGCTAGCGACCCCGGCCCGGATCGATCCGATATGTTAATCCGCTACCCACTCGGGACTCTGGATTTGGTATTCATACAGAAAGGGTCTAGCTCCGCGCTCCGCATGGCATTAAGGTGGCGCCGCCGGTCCGGACTTGTCTCCGGCGGGGCAGCGCGCCGAGTCCTCCGACGGGGACGTCCATGCCGATGTCCCTTTCCACCGTGTTGGTTTACGAGCGAACCAGCCGGCCCCCCTGGGCGGGCCTGGCGGGCCTGGCGGGCCTGGCGGGCCCTAGTGGTGCTGGTAGTGTAGTGTGCCGCTCCAGCGGGGCCGCGCCGCCCCGCGCCGCCCCGCGCTGCCGCCACTGCTTTCCACTCGGCGTCGCGACTCCGACGTTTCAATCCCATTTCAATTTGCCTCCATGCCGTTCTAATTCGCGTCTTCCCTCCTTGCAGGATGAACGGCGTCAACGGCATGAACGGGCACAACAATGAGCTGAACGGGCACGGCGAGCTGGGCCTGAACCAGAAGGGCTGCTGGACCATCGGGCTCATCAACTCCAAGTTCCGCTACCTGACCGCCGAGACGTTCGGCTTCAAGATCAACGCCAACGGCGCCTCGCTCAAGAAGAAGCAGGTGTGGACGCTGGAGCCGGCGTCGGGCGGCGAGTCCGTCATCTACCTGCGCTCGCACCTGGACAAGTACCTGGCCGTCGACTCGTTCGGCAACGTGACGTGCGAGTCCGACGAGCGGGACGCCGGGTCGCGCTTCCAGATCAGCGTGGCCGACGACGGCTCGGGCCGCTGGGCGCTGCGCAACGTGGTGCGAGGCTACTTCCTGGGCGCCTCCGCCGACAAGCTGACGTGCACCGCCAAGGCGCCCAACGAGACCGAGTTCTGGCTGGTGCACCTCGCCGCCAGGCCGCAGGTAAGGTCAAGGGTTGCCGTCAGAGACCGCCGGGTGGTCGCCGTCGGTGTGGCGATTGACACTGACCGGCTGGAACTGGGACAGTCAACGCCGAAAATTTAAGTTTTTTGTGGCGGGGATCCGGAATGCCCCGAGGCCCCTGACCGCGAAACGCCTGCCGCCGGGCTGTCCTGTCCGCGAGAACGGTCGGGGACCTCGTCGGGGACTAAATTGGCACGTGTCTCTGGCGGCGTTTGGGAACGGTGAACGGCGCGCCTCGCGAGGAGAGGAATGGCATGCAGACGAAGACGGCTTCATCCTTCATCCGCCGACCCCGCGGCCGTGGCGCGGTCTAGACCTTGCCTCCCGGCCGCGGGGAGCCGATCCCGTCTGTCTGTCTGTCTGTCTGTCTGTCTGTCTGTCTGTCTGTCTGTCTGTCTGTCCGGCTGTCTGTCTGCCCGGCTGTCTGTCTGCCCGGCTGTCTGTCTGCCCGGCTGTCTGTCTGCCCGGCTGTCTGTCTGCCCGGCTGTCTGTCTGCCCGGCTGTCTGTCTGCCCGGCTGTCTGTCTGTCCGGCTGTCTGTCTGCCCGGCTGTCTGTCTGCCCGGCTGTCTGTCTGTCCGGCTGTCTGTCTGTCTGTCTGTCTGTCTGTCTGTCTGTCCACCTGGAATGGAACTGATCCGCGCTGCGGCCGGTCGGAGTCATTCGCATAGAAAAACCGGAAAGGCGTTCCAGCTCCAGCTGTGGGACGGACGGCCGGCCGGACGGGGCGCCGCCTGGAGCCTGGAGCCTGCTGGCCTGGAGCTGGAATGGAATGGGATTCGCCCGGATTCGCCATTCGCTCCGCAGCAGCGCGGCCGTTTTGCCATCGGCGGGGACGGCAGCGGGGAATCGAGTGTGGAAAAAGAGCGATCGCTACCGGCGAGGACGACGGCGAATAAACTTGTTTGGCTGCGCCGTGCTGCCGTGTCCGCGTCTCTCGCTCCCCGGCGCCCTTTCCGCGCCGCTGGGGAAGTGCCTGACATTCAGGGTGTCACTGCCGGGACTGAAATACCAAGCGCCGGGGGCAGGGAGGCAGCAACGCGTCCCTAAGCGGCCCTCGCCGCGCTTGGGGTAGGGCGCGATGCTCGTCCGCGGGGCGTAGGGCCCCACGGCGTAGGGCCCCACGGCGTAGGGCCCCACGGCGTAGGGCCCCACGGCGTAGGGCCCCACGGCGTAGGGCCCCACGGCGTAGGGCGCGGCGCCGCTCATGCTGAGTCACCAAGCGGCCGCCTCTCCGGCAGGACTCCCAGGACTCCCAGGGCGTCGCCGTAACATCAGCGTCACGAAATGAAAAACATCGCGCCCGACAACATTTAACTCGATGAAATACGGCGGGGCTCCTCGGTTCCACCTCATTTCTGAGCACACCGGCGGGGCGGGGCGGTGCGGTGCTACAAATGGCGTCGGGTGGCTCGTTACTGGAGAGGAGCACGGACTGGTTGACGAGCGCTGGATAGCAACCCGCTCATTGTCCTCAAAAGTAAACTTATGACCTTTTTTGGGGGGGAGGGGGGATGCAACTAAACGTTTTGTGGCCGCGCGAGTTTTCCCTATGCTTGCCTTTGCTTTGCTCCGCGGCGCGAATAACGAATCGGAACGTGCTTCGCGGTGCTTCGCGGTGCTTCGCGGTGCTTCGCGGTGCTTCGCGGTGCTTCGCGGTGCTTCGCGGTGCTTCGCGGTGAGATGGGCGGACGCTGCAGTGTACCTGGTGGGTCCGGAGGCGAGTCACGAGACTGCGTGCCGTGATTGGCGATGCCCGGGCCGACTGCAGACTGATTCCGAGAGTCGTTTTCGTCGCTCTGTCTCTCTCGCACTCATGGCGCGTCCCGTGTAGGTGCGAGAGAGACAGAGCGACGTAAACGACTCTCGGAATCAGTCTGCTGGCCGCCTGACTGGCCGCTAATAACGCGGCATTGATCGGAAGCCCCGCCCCGCCCCGCCCCGCCCCGCCCCGCCCCGCCCCGCCCCGCCCCGCCCGCCCCGCCCCGCCCCGCGCGGGGCACGCGGCGCTTCATCCTAGTCGTCTCCGCCACGCGCCGCGACGCGCGGGGAAAGTCCAGCCCGAGGCTGCGCCAATGCTGCGCGGCCAAGCAGGCGAATGCAGAGCGTTCATTGTTTAATCAAACACCATTAACTAAAATCCTGGACCCAAAGTGTCCATGCTTGTGTCCCTCCGGCCGGAAATGGAAACGGATTGTTGGTCCGTGGCTGCGTGCTTCGAAGGCGCCTGCCTCTGCGCGCGAAAATCCGAGCGGTTGGGGCTCCCGGTGGCCTGAATGAGGGCGTCGACGCGCTGGTCCGCGGCCAAACGCGTTTAGTGAAGGGCGGCGGCGGCGACGGGGAGAGATTAACCCGGCATGAGGCACCGCACTGTACGCAACGTGCTTGACCAGAGGAAACTCTGTATTTTTCGTTGGGGCTTGTTTCCCAGGCACACTCTGGAAGGTTAGGTTAGGTTAGCCTGCGGGTTAAGAAGAGGCCAGTGCGCCGCGGCCATCAGGCAGACGGTGTTTAGGTCCGCGTGGTCGGCCGGCCACGGAATGGGTAATTGATTAGGAGGGCGGCTGCCTGCTCGGTCTGTGCGCCTCGAAAATGAGCCGGTCTGGCGTGGCTGGCTCGGCGCGGCTGGCGTACGCAGTGTATTCACGCCCCGTCGTCTTCCCTTTACTGGAGCATCGCCGCTTGCTGCTGCTTTCCCCCGGCCGACCGCCAGTGCAGCCTCAGTTGATGCTTTTTACTTGATTTGACAGGTAATTAAAGTGACGGCAGCAACGGAGATTCTTAACTCTCCTGACCGAGTTTTTGTTTTGTTTCGAGACAAAAGTCCCGGCCGAGTCTATCCCGGGGGCGGTGAGACAAAAACGTCGGCCGCTGCCTGATTTTCGTCGGGCTGCGCGCAGTACGACGCGGTGCTCGGTGCTCGCGAGGGCCAGAGCAGCGGGAGGCCCCCGCCGTGTCACACGCCGCGTTTTGGACTAGCTTTCACTTTCCTTTTGAATGTCTCGCGCCGGGCCGGACGGTCCTCCCGGAGTGGAGTGTGTCCGGCAGGGGCGCGATGCCCGCGCGCCGCCCGCTGCGCACGGCGGTGCCGCGGTTGCCTACCGCCACGGCGCTGACCCTCCCCTCTTGACAGTGCCTCCCTCTCCTGCCGCAGGTAAACCTCCGGTCGGTGGGCCGCAAGCGGTTTGCCCACCTGTCCGAGAACCTGGACGAGATCCACGTGGACGCCAACATCCCCTGGGGCGAGGACACGCTGTTCACGCTCGAGTTCCGGGCCGACGACGGCGGCAAGTACGCGCTGCACACGTGCAACAACAAGTACCTGTCGCGCGAGGGCAAGCTGGCGGACACGTGCACGCCCAACTGCCTGTTCTCGGCCGAGTACCACGCCGGCATGCTGGCCCTGCGCGACCGCGCCGGCGGCTACCTCTCGCCCATCGGTACGTATACACTGTGAAGGCCGGTTAGGCCCCAGCGCGTGCAGGGCGTTGACGGCGTGCTCTGTGTCGCCAGGCTCCAAGGCCGTGCTCAAGTCGCGCTCCAACACCGTCACCAAGGACGAGCTCTTCTCGCTGGAGGACTCCCTGCCCCAGGCCAGCTTCGTCGCGGCGCTAAACGGCCGCTACGTCTCCGTCAAGCAAGGTGAGTACTTGGCAGTGTAGGCGCCGGTCACTGGAACTGTTCCAGTGTGCGAAGGAGCCCCCTGCGTGTGTCCAGGCGCCGGAACGAGCCCTATCGCCCGGCGCCCATTAATACCCGATACCTGGCCCGCTGGTCCGCCATACCACGCCACCATAAATAAGCATAAAGCCGCTAGTCAAATTAGCGGGCCGTGGCCTCCGTCTCTCTCGCACTCGTGGGGCGGCCCCTACCGGTGGAGAGAGACGCACAGCGAAGAAGCGCTGGCTCGTGGCGCGGGCCGTGCGGATCCTGCCGCCGAATCCCCGGTCCTGCCTCGTCGTCCTCCCCGCACAGTGGGCCAGAAGCCGGTGGAGGCGGCCAAAACTCTAGACGCGTTTTGAGCTCCAGAGTCGCTAAATGGGACTCGAACCGAACGTGTGACCCCACCAATGGATTGCTCTCCGAACGAGCACTGAGAAAACATTACAAACTATTTTGGACCTTACAAAGAAAAGTAGTTTGTATAACAAAGTATTTTGAGCATACGTAAGCTTACAAAGAAAATACTTCGTAATTTACGAACTATTTCTTCGTATAACAAAGTATTTTAGTTTGTTATATGTATGCTCAAAATACTTCGTAAGGTTTTAAGAGTGAGGAATCCATTGGTGGGGTCACACGTTCGGTTCGAGTCTTAGTGACTCTGGAGCTCAAAACGCGTCTAGAGTTTTGGCCGCCTCCACCGGCTTCTGGCCCACTGTGCCCCGCCCCCCACGCGCCCGATGCAGGGCAGGCCGGCAACGCGCGGACGCCCCGCGGTCCGCGCCACTCGCAATTAAATCCAAGTGCGCACCGCGGTGCATCGCGGCGCGCGGAGCGAAAAAAAGGGGCCGCGCTCGCGCTGGCTGCTACAAAGTTGGAATCCAGACGGCGGCAAGGCGCGGCAAGGCGCGGCAAGGCGCCACGCGCTAGTGTTACGTGTTTCCTGGACGGCTCGTTTTGATGATGGGCCGCTGAGATCCCGGCGCACTGCGCCGTGCGCCTTCCCGCCATTGTCTGGCCCTCCGCAGACTGTCTCTCTCGCTCGTATGCGGGACCCCCCATGAGTGCGAGAGAGGCAGAGCGGTCCTCTGTCTGCGAGCCGTGCCGCCGATTCGGCTTGTTTTGGTCCAGTTTGCGCGTTACGTAAAATCCCCCCCCCCGGTTTCCCCGGCAGCTTCGCCGTCGCCTCGCGTCGCCTCGCCTCGCGATGCGGCAAATTAATAAACGGGCGGTTGGCGGACGCGGACGGGACGCGGGACACTCGGACGGCCAGTGGAAGTGACTCGGGCGACTGTGCAGTGCGGTGCCTCTCCTCTCTCTGCGGCCGGCAGGGAGACTTCCTCTTTATATTGCTTTTAATCAGGGCGATAAGAAGGCATGGGATGGGATGGGCAGGCGCGCTGCCGTTCGCTCTCCGAGCATTGAGTGACGCACGCTCTCCCGGCCGTTTCCTCTCTCGAAATGTTTTAGCGAAGAAGGCCCCCTTAGTCGGGCTTGAAATTAAGTTCTTGAATTTTTGCGGCCCAGGCTAGCTTGACGACCGTGACATTGCTGTGAATTGCTCTCGGTGCGATGTGACGACGCGATCCGATCCGATCCACTGGGTCGTGGCCGTCGTGGCGGAGAGGAGGACCGCCCCGCCCTGTGCTTGCGGTGTGCTTGCGCTGCTTGACCTTCCCCGCCCGGGAAGTGCCTCCTTCCGATGTCGCCTGAGAAGCGTTCGTTGAGGCCGCCGGAGAGCCACCAGAGCCTCCATTAGCGCTGGTCTCGCCTCATTGGCCGCCTTCCTGCCGCGACTTCGATGACGCCCTCCTCTGGGTGGCTCCAAGGTGGCTCTGCGCGCTCTGCGTTTAGATCCCTCGCCTTGAACCCACGTGCGTTGAAATCCCTCGTCTCTCACGGAGCTGCAGTCCAATTACGGGAAGGCTTCAAATTTAGTCAAAGCGGTGCGCTTTTTCATTTGCCCTGGAATGGGAACTCTACTCTGGAATAGTCGGACTCACGCGTGCTTTGCCTGGCTCTGCCCCGCTGTGCCTCGAACGGGGCCCGGGGCCGCGGGCTGCGGGGGGCACCGGCAGGCACTGGTCCGCGAAGGTGCCCCTATCCCCCACCTCCCTCCCTCCCCTCCCCTCCCCTCCCCTCCCCGCCTCGGGCACGCCTGCGTCACGCCCAGCTCACAACGATCCAAAAAAAAAAAAAAAAGGGATCTGCATTACAATTTATTTTGATTAAATTTTCATATTTCACAGTATCATCAACGCTGCTAGGCCTATACAGTATACAGACCTTTGGCTAATTTTTATTTGCAACTATATTTTTTTTTAGAGTGTGCGTGCTCCGAAAAAAGCATTGGTTTCCCCCGTGCGCGTGCATGCCGCCTTCGCGTGCCAAGCGTCTTCTTCGCCATCGCCTCTCTCTCTCACTCACTCATTTCTCATCAGTAAGACTCTCTAAGCCCGGCACAGTGGGCCAGAAGACCGGTGGAGGCGGCCAAAACTCTAGACGCGTTTTGAGCTCCAGAGTCGCTAAAGGGGCTCGAACCGAACGTGTGACCCCACCAATGGATTCCTCGCTCGGAGAGCAATCCATTGGTGGGGTCACTCGTTCGGTTCGAGTCCCATTTAGTGACTCTGGAGCTCAATACGCGTCCGGGATTTTGACCGCCTCCACTGGTCTTCGGGCCCACTGTGCCCGGCTAGGCTTCGTTAGAGCACCACAGCTTGGGCTCGTCGCCTCGCGGGCGCGCAGTGTTTTTCGCACACACTCGCGACGAGTTGGTGATTGTTTCGGGGTCGGTGATCGGGTGGCCAGACGAGCCGGCAGGCTGGATGCGGGTGCTGTTGGCGGCGTGGGGCCGGAGTGGCACAGTGGGCCAGAAGACAGGTGGAGGCGGCCAAAACTCTAGACGCGTTTTGAGCTCCAGAGTCGGTAAGCAGGACTGGAACCGAACGTGTGACCCCACCAATGGATTCCTCGTTCGGAGAGCAATCCATTGGTGGGGTCACACGTTCGGTTCGAGTCCCATTTAGCGACTCTGGGGCTCAAAACGCGTCTAGAGTTTTGGCCGCCTCTACCGGTCTTCTGGCCCACTGTGAGTGGGTCCGACGGGCCGGAGTCCCCCGAGGGACTGGGACTGGAGGGTGTCATCTCTTTGCGTCTCCAGTCACTCACTCAGCCGTTGGTTCATTCATTCATGCAGTGCGGTGCGTAGGACGTCGTGGGACCGGGCGAGGCGAGCCGGCCGACTACCCCAACAACAAGATCGGCACATCAGAGGAGATGCATAACATTTTCTCCCGGAGAAATTACAAAGCCCTTTTTTTAAAAAGCGCCTCCACGTTGTTAATGCGCATGTATTACCATGGCATTACGCACGAAAGCACGCGTCACGTTATAATGCGTTATCTCGGCGTGCGGCCCTTGCCTTGCCTTCCCCGCGCGAGGCTAGCTGGCGGTGCGGACCCCACGGCCCTGGCCCTCATCATAATGGATTTGACGCGCATCCCCGTGTGGTAATGGCAGGGCCGGGCCTAGGCCCCAACTAGCGCAGTCCGGCCCGGACGGCCCGGCCCAGCCGCCTCCGTGCTCGCAGTGCCCGCAGTGCTCGCAGTGCGCGAGGTGTTGGGAAGGAACAGCCCTGCCAGGCCCTGCCAGGCCCTGCCAGGCCCGGCTAGCGGGACGGGAGGCGTGTTTGGAACTTTTGGCGCCGAAAGTCGTGCCACTGCATTGTTCCCAAAGGGGGATATCTCTTATGGGTTGCGTCCAGTTAGATGGGTGTCTATGGGTGTCTATGGGTGGCTTGGGTGTCTAAGGGTGTCTAAGGGTGTCTGAGGGGGTCTGGTGGGTCGAGCGACGCTCGCTTCGGCCAATCAGAGCTCGGCGCGCCGACTTCATCAGGCACCCTCCGGCACCCTCAGACACCCTCAGACACCCAAGACACCCAAGGCACCCATAGACACCCATCTAACTGGACGCAACCATGGGTGCGCGTGGCCCGTCTGCGCAGCGCACCGGCAGCAGTGGTGCCAACATCTGAACCGAAAAGTGAGAGCCGACCCAGCGTGGTCCGGCAAGATGCTGCGCTGGACCGCTATCCACACATGAGATCGGTAGCGCAGTGGTTAGCGTAGCCGCATACGGGTCGGGGGTTGCGGGTTCGACACCCACCCGGGCAGAGCGCTTTTACCGCAATTTCTGTTCTCTACGTTGGTACCACTGCCTTGGGGGCGCTGACGTCACGATTGGGAGGCCGTCTTTCGTAGCATGGAGTTATACCCCTTTGATTGTTCCGCGTCCCGGACCGCCCCGGACCGCCCCGGACCGACGCGGAGAAGAGGAAGCAATTAAATCGGTGTCGAGGGCCGAGGGCCGCGGGCGGACGAAAGTGCGGCATGTGGGAATGTTCTTTCCACACCTGGCGGCGCGCCTCGCGGTCCCTGCTCCAGGACCAGGGCGAGGTTGTAGGCGCCGGGCGCCTGCTTCCGGACCGGTGGCGCCTCACTTCTCGCGCGGCCCGCCGAAGGCCGAAGCTTCAAGGGACGCGCTCCGCCCGGCTCCGCTAGGCTCCGCTCCACTGTCACGGCGCAGCGCCGCTCGCGGTTCGCGGAACGGCCGGGCCACTGCGAAAATACCGCCAGCTGTACTTGCAGTGAACCGTACGTGGCGGCGTGCGTGCAGGCCGCGGCCGGGGCCCAGGGCGGCGTGGGTGCCTCCAGGTGGGCGGCGCTTTCTCCGTGCAGCGAGTGCGAGGCGAGGCCCTGTCTCTCTCGCACTCATGGGGCGAGCCGCAGAGGTGCGAGAGAGACGGAATGAGACGGCTGCCCCCTGGTGGTGCTCATCGCGAGCGCGGCCCACTGTGCGCTGTGCGCCGCGTCGTCGCCGTTGTTGTGCTGATTGCCCAGGACGGCGAGGAAGTGAACGGGACCCGGCCGACTGGACCAGAACCAGCATATGGCGAGCGAGAGACAGTTCCCGGTGCC